TAGGAAGCAGATGGCTTGCTCCTTCCATTCCTTCATGTAAAGTTGCAAATGTCCCTCTTCAAGAAACAACCAATATCTCCACCTGGTCATGTTTTAATTTTGATTAGGGGAAATAGATTTCAAGGAAAAGTAGCGGATAGATTTCCTTTTACCCTGGAAGCCCTTTACATAAAATCCTGACAGAGGAAAGTAGCAAATGCACATTAAGCCAGCTGCTTAAAGGACAGAACATTGCATAATTCTGAAACCAATTTGCTCATGGTGCAACATAAATATCATTATTTCAACACAGGTTTTAGCTAACAAAGTACAGAACCTAGATAAATTAAGCAGACAGAATACTACAGAACCTACTAACTTCCATGTCACTACTTTGCAATTCTGTCTTGCATGAATTCATTGCAAAGTCCAACTCTTATTATCATCAGCCAATCATGCCATCAAGACGATAGAAGGATCAGCTATGGTCTGGTTCTGCCTCTGCCGGCTAACTGGAGTTTTCACAGCGAGACCTGAAGTGCCAAAACAGAAATACTGGCTCCTGAATGATTTTCTGAAGCAGGCTGTACTTGTTTTTCCGTCATCATGTAGTTGGCTGGAGCATGATGGTCCTGCCAAATCAGTTTCAGTTAAAATCCCTTTCTGTTTATCCAATTGACTTGGAGAAGATATGGATGACTTTGAAAATGAACTTGAACGAGAATGGCCATGAGCAGTTAAATGTGGCATGGCCCGCAGAACACCATGCATTAGCCCTGAAGCAAACTTCTTCCTTGCAATTGGACTAGACTGATTGCTCCTCACTGAAAGTGTCCTTTTGTTGCTGGAAGGTGAAGGGGGCTTTGTAAACCTCTGCCTAAGCGGGATTGGAGCTTCATTTGTACACTTCCCTTTTTTATGTGATTGCGTAGAACCCTCACCTACTGGTTTCTGAACCCTTTTAGTCCTTATCTCTTTCAGCCGGGGCCAGAACAGGACGCTTTTTAATCTCTGTGCTGTGTTATTCTTAGAACCTGGTTTCTTATCAACTGAAGAGATTTGGTTCTCATTGCTCTCATCAGTCATTTCAAATTGATTTGCTTCTGTTGAAGACGAACTCATTGCTGCACTTGCTGGGTATGCAGCACTGGCATCTGATGCGTTTGCAGTCTCAACCCCTGTATACAAGAAGATTTCTGTGTCGGATACTCTAAAAGAAGTTCCAGGACTGCTTCCATTACCTTGCATCTTCAAGTGTGAAGCCATGGCTCTCCTTGCAGTATAGTCCTGACAACCAAATATTCCCCCAGCAGATATCAACTGTCTAATAAGCATATCTGATGATGCAGAACAAGGATGCTGTCTAAGGAGGTCAAGTGGAGTCATTCCATTAGTGTCGTGGACATTCACATTGATTGATTGAGCAGACATCAGAAGTTCAACTAGGTCCGTGTGAACATTCCCAGTGATGGCCATGTGAAGAGCAGTCCTTCCATCATTGTTCTTAGCATTAATGATGTCCTCGATTTTGAAGTTTTTTTCACATATCAGCTGCTTCATAAGCTTAATCTGGTGGTCCACTCTTTTAAATGCAGGATTTTGGAAACCAGAAACGGCTGTGTGAACAAAAGTTTCTCCAGAGTTGTTTCTTACTGAGATCAGTGAAGGAGACGTAATAATCAAAGCCTCAACCACTGCTCCTTGTCCTCTGTAGGCAGCAGTATGCAATGCGGTGTTGCCATGATGGTCTGTTGAGCTGGCAATATCAAAACATGCCAGAAGATATTTCACAGCCTGCAAAGACAGATAAAACTTCCATGACTAAAGTTGAGGTAAAGTAGAAAGAAACTCTTTTTGATGGCGTCCTGTTTGACCAAAACTCAGATAAAGTGTCCATTATGAGTTAGCTCCAAATTTCTATGTGGATGATGTCTAGAATTAAAGAGAAATCATAATCTGCAGGTTATACGCAGAACAACCACCAGAAAAATTCACTTCTGAGATTCCTTTTTTCAAGTGTCAAATTTTACAACCAAAGAGATATTGGAGCCTTGACACAAAAAAACACTGTGGAACTGCTTTGAAGTGGAAAACATATCTTGATTGAGGAAATTGAGAAGGTCAATTTGTTTTCCCAGATCCTATCACTTTTTCACTGATTTGTCATTCTAAAACACATCAATACCTTCTTTTGAAGTACTAAGTAGTAAAAACGCGAGTAAAAACGCAAACCACCTTTTTTGAGCATGTAATGGGTAAGATTTCACACTAGAAACCAACCTCTATGCCAGTTTGCTTCTTCTTCCTAAGCTAAAGCTGAAGGGCCTAAAACTATGTTTTATATAAGGAGAAAACTGTTGGAGCTATGGCATGAGAAGATGCAGTGAAATGAAATCTGCTAAATGATGCTGCAATATGACTGCACAGTAGCAGCAAATGACAGCAGCATGCAGCTTCACATGGGCTACAAGAAATGGCAGAACACTTCATCATTTTAGTCAATGTTTTAGATAGTTAATAA